TTTCCTGGGACAGACATTAAGCCAACTGGCATTTATTTTCCACAATATCCACTGGATCTCCTCTTTAAAAATTGGTGTTACATTGGCTACTTTCCAGTCAAATGCAGAGGCAGATCTGAGGGACAAGTTACATATCTTTGCTACCAGATCAGCAATTTCACCTTTGAATTCTTTGAAAACTCTTGGGTGGATGCCATCCAGACCCGGCAATTTTTCAGTTTCTATTGTGTCTAATAGGCCTACAACTTCATCTCTCAGTACTACTATCTGCCTAAATTTCCCAGACTCCCTTCCTTCAAAAGTTAGTTCAGGCACTGAGATCTGTCCTTTATCTTCCACTGTGAGGACAGATGCAAAGAATTCATTCAGCTTCTCCTCAATCTTCTCATCTTCCTTGAATCAACCTTTGACTTGCTTTTCATCTAAGAGTCTCACTATCTCACTAGATAGCCTCCTGCTACTAATGTGTTTAAAGAACTTCTTATTGAAGACCTTAATTATTTTAGCAATATTCTCCTCAATTTTTTTTGAAGCATCTATCTCAAATCATGTCCCACACTGGGAGATCCAAATAAAAATATTAGGCTTGTGCTATTTTGCTGTCACAGACATTTTGAGATAAACTTGGGAAATAAACTAAACTTCAACAAGGTCAATATTTTAAGTTTTCTTGTCTATAATTTGGCTGCTATATGATTTGAAAGCTATTTAGCTGGCAACAGCTAAATAGAAGGCATGCTGTGAATTTCTACTAGAATGCCTTTAATGGATTCGATATTTCCTTGGCTCCGTTTATGGATTTATGGAGGGTTCCCCCCCTCCATTTTTTTAAAACATAGAAAAGAAAGCAATTCATTCTTTGCTTTTAGGATTGTGTGGGTGACAGATGCCACCTATATAGTTATTCTGTTCAAAAATGATTGTGTAAAACTGCCTTAGGTGCATTGCTTAAGCCTTTTGCCTCAGAGGAGTCTTGTCTTCAATGACCCTGTTCCTGGGTTATAGTTTTAGAAACTATAACTATGTTATACTTCCTCAGGTGCAAGTGTTCCTGATAGATGTTTTAAAACATGTTTAAACATAAAGTGATCCCCCCCTTCTCTTTGCATGTTGTTTTCACACTTTTATTGTATTTAAGGAGTTTGACTGACTCTGGAAATTATAGTTTGTTCACAAAGCTCCCTTGAGGATTGCATATGGTGCTGAAACTGAAAACTAATGGCTCCACAGGATGAAGTTTCCTTGATTTCTGCCTCCCTTCCCCCAACACAAGAAAGTTTGTTGCACCACTGAAAAAATGGATGTGATTCAAAAGCTCATGGAGTCTCATGCAATTTTGCACATGCATGCTATTTCCTGTTTCTGCTATCTTGTGGAATGTTCTGAGCATGCCATGCGGGTGTGTGCAACAAATGTAAGAGATGTGCAATGAGAGCCACTGGGTCAGAGTGAGTTAATGGATTTATTTTTAATTGGGAATGATCAGACTCTAGCCAGACTCTGCAATTTGCAAATACAAAGTTCGCCATATGTCATTTTCCACACTGCAGTTCCTTTGGGGAAATGGCATGTGGGGAACTTTGTCTCTGCAAATTGCAGATTTCCCAAACCTGTGCCATCTTTCCCATCCCTTCTGCCGAATGCATGCTCAAGAGAAGGAAGTGTAAAGACAAAGTCAGGCTCATGGAAGACTACTTGCTAGCTTTGTCCAGATATCAAAGAGAGACAATGAAGAATTAAAACTCTTCCAGGTCCTTGATCAACACCTTGCCCACTGGATCATTATAGCTCCCATTTCATGGCATGGTTCAGACATAATGGGAAATCATTGTTTTTCAATTCATAACTCAGACATGAGGAGTCTGAGGCCTGCATGCTCCCTTCACCTTCACCTTTGTGTGCTAGAGGAAGAAATGGAGCCATTTTAAAACTAAGCACAGGTCTCGCCCTTTCCCTTTTTGCCCTTTGTCTATGAAATCACCCCATTGCTTTTCAACCAACAGAGGGAAATATATGGGGGCTCTGCAAAAGGGGAGGTAAATATATGTGGACCTTGAGGAGGGAAAAACAGTTTTGGGGTGTTTTTAGCCAACAAATGGCATCTGTTCCCCTTCCTCCAGTCACAGGGTTCCCACAGATGCTTTTCACTGAAAATCAAGACCAATGAAACCACACAGGCTTCCTGGGTCTAATGTCGACTTTGGCCCAAAGCCCATTGGGATCAGTGAAAGACATAGTTCCTGAATCTGCATTGGGTTTTCTCATCTCAGTGCTGATAAAAAGAGGAAACTCCCATGAGAAATTTTGTGAATCTAATTGGGATCATTTTAATTTCCATCAAAATGTCTGTGCAGGTTTTACCTGAGCAGGGCCATTTAAACCCCCTCAAGATGTGTTTTTAGGCGGGGGAGGGGGAGGGGGGGATCAGTTGAGATATGGAAACAGAACAAGCAAACCCAAAGAAACAACCTGAAAACTGTTTGCTAATGTTATTGGCACTCACTCACAACAAATGTTTTGCAAGAGTAGAACTCTCCAAAGCCATTCAAACTAACTTCAGACAAAACCTTGTAGATATTGCTGCCTTTACATTGTGTCATTTGTGTACGCATGTATTCTTTTATCATTTATTTTATTAGTATATTTGTAAAATTAATTGTACATTTATTTATTGGAAGCATTTTTTTTACCCTGCTCTTCATCCAAAAAGGCTCCCAGTATTGCTTGAAACCAGACCCTGCTTGCAGGCTCACAACTCAAAACACAACACTAAAGGAAAAGGGGGGGGAGGGGGTGGTGAAGAAGCAAATTCTGGCACCAATCCTTAAAGTTAAATATAATGACCATTATATTGTTCAGCTTTTTTAAATTACATATATCAGATGCCCTGAATGTTTTGTTCCAAAAATGAAAAGGGAAGTACAAATCCTTCAGCATAATTGATAGGTTATATGCATTTGATTTAAGGAGATGGGCATTTCAGTCCATGGGGATAAGATATTTTTGCACATTAGGAGAGACATGATCCATATCTATCTATCATCTATCATCTATCATCTCTATCTATCTATCTATCTATCTATCTATCATCATCTATCTATCTATCTATCTATCTATCTATCATGTATCTATCTATCATCTATCTATGTATCTGTCATCTAATTTCTGTGGAGGTATAGACAAAAAGAAAACATCTGCACAGACCAAGAGCTGGCCGCTTGCCCCAGAGAGCAATGGAACAGGCCGAGGAGCTGAATGATACTGGCTTAATTGCGAGGCATCATTTGTGAAGCATGGAGGACAGATCTAGACAATTTGGTCCCATATACTGCTAAATGCGTCCAAAAGGCCCTATGATAATTTACTAACTGGTACAAGACTTTGCTGGTGCTCACAAGTTCTGGATCACCCTTGTGCAAACATTCTTCAAACGTGAGCTGGATCATGGACCAGCCTAGCCCAATTTGGTCAACACTGTACTGACTGGTGGCAGCAGCAGCAGCAGCAATCCAGGGTTTCAGACAGGAGAAGTGTTACCTGGAGATGCTGGGGACTGAACCAGGGACCTTTGCATGCAAATCATGCAAAGTCCAACAAACATGTGCTCTGTGGTGCCTGAGCTGCAAGCTCTCACATGCTGGAGAGTTAGTTCGGACGGGAAGTGCTGTTGCTTTAGCACAGGAAGTAAGGGCAGCTCCTTGCTGGAGTAGGTGGGTCATTTCAGCAGTAGAATATATGGCCAGTGTTATGTACTGAAGTTCTCCACCCTGTGGACCCTGTAGATAGTTCAGGGTTATGCAAATAAGGGATCGAAAGTGACATTCAGTGATTGGATAGTTACAGAAAGTGGTTACTGTTGCGTTCTAGTGGAGCTCTATATAAGCAGGCTGGCTGAATCCTTCAGTTCATTTCTGTTCTGGCCTGTGAATAAACAAGAGCTGTTTGAAGAATCGCTGTGTCGTCTGATATGTTCACCCACAACTTAACAGCCAGCCTCTGCTATTTTGCCTGTGAATTAAATGAAGAATGTTTGCGACTGTCAGGCAAGCTCTATGGAAACGATATCTTATTCTAAGCTTCAGAATGAAATGTATTTAGGCACAAACCCTATTTTAGTAAAGTTGCTTCAGAAAAAAAATTCCCTTGGCTTTTCCCAAGCATGTGTGTAAATCGAGTGCATTCTTCCTCTCCCCATTCCACAAACAACCAGCAATCCTCAATATGTGTATAGAAACATGCTAATATAAATTAATGCCTTTTAAAATCACTGTAAACTCTGTTTTCTGTAATTATAACGAGCCCTAGAGTTCTAACCATGCAAGAGTAATTTTTTGAGTCTGTTTGCCATTATTGTCCTTTTGATGTTTTTTTTAAAAAAAACTACATCTAACTTGAGCAAACAATGTTAAGTGGGGAAACAGATGTGATTAAATAGCCTGTAATTATGTCTTTAGTCATCTGTTAGCATCACAAGGCTTCTCCTGCTAGTATGACCAGAAAAAGTGACCTAACTGATTTCCCCAGCAGCTTTGCCAGAGACTGATGTAGAATAGATGGCCTTATTAAGCAATCAAAAAAAAAATTCCAGCCATTACAGTGGAATAGTAATCAGCACTGTTTATACTATTCACACACTTGCCCCACAATACACAATCAGGCCCATGAATTCTGCTAATTGGGTACCTTCTGCATCCAGAGGTGCCTACTATAGGAGACAAAAGGGACTAGGAAATTAGTGTTTGCAGCAATTAGTTTTTCTGTCTAAAGGCTTAGCCCGGTTGAGGGAAGCCCTGCTTCAGACATAGATTACTTTAGCAACTGTGGCATTCAAACGTCCTGTCACAAACCTAATTTGTACTTTCGGTGTGTGTGTGTCTGTGCTTATTTTGAATCTGCATGTTTCAATCTCAAACCGACATCTATTTATTTCATGTTCCCAATACTAAATGTTTTTCTTCTATGGTTTTTCAGGAAACCAGCTGTGAGGGTTGAGAGGAATATGTTTGTCGTTGTGGGACGGATTGCTAAAAACAATACAACTGGGGTGTATTTTGCCATGACGGTTCTTTAAATAGTCTCTGGCATGGCACAGAGGAGTTAACAGCATCATTAAACACAGACAGACAGACAGACAGACACACACACACACACACACACACACACACACGTAATGAAGGACCAAAAGCATCTTGTCTCCACTAGCATAAAAATACTGGGGAGAAATGTAGGTATGAATGCATTTTATCTGAGTATACTTACAAAATATTTACAAATGGGTGTCCTTGAATGCTCAGTGGATTATGTTAAATTGGTGACCAAAAGCTATTTGCCCTTCCATTGCTTTCAATCTTTAGCATTTCTGACATAATAATCTGATAGGCAAATCTCCTTGCACGGCTTCTTGCCATTATAGACTCCCTGCTGTAGCTGCTTAAAGGGCAAATTAACAGTAGCACAATTCAAGTCACCTCTTCACCTCTAATACAAAGCATCAGCTGCATGTTCTTGCTCTGCTAAAGCTCTCCATATGGTTGCTGCAGGACCTTAACAAAAGGATTTTAAAAAAAAAAAGCGCTTAGAACCCAGAGTGAAGACTGAATAAATAGGAAGAGGGAAGCAAAAAAGTCTTTAAGTCAAATCACAGCTCCCATTTCTGTTATTTGAAGGTTATGTTGGAAAATAGAGAGGTACCATCTGCAATTTATTAATACGTTGTAATCTTCATTAGTTAATTTTTGCTCAGTGCAAATGTGATTAAGGATGTGACCTTCAGATGATGATTATTAATACCAAATATTGCATTATGAAACTATTAAATTGTAGGCAAATATTGGTACTTTGCAGACAATCAGAATGATAAGTGTGATAGTTTGTAGAGATACTGTACCAACATTTCCCTCTGACTGATTGCATTGCATATTGATATTAGCAAGTATCAGTATGTAGTGCAATCAGTCAGCAGAAAATGAGTGAAATGTAAACTAATGAGAGCTAATTGTCTCTTATAATAGCAAGGACACAGAATTCTATCAATTAAATTAGGCTAAGTTGAAACAGTGATCAATGTAATAATGTTGTGATATCAACCAAATTAGATGCAGTAATGAAATGGGTGATGTGCTAGGGTGACAACATAAGTAAAGTAAAACTTTTGATTGGGTTTTAAAGTCAGTGAACCCACCTGCCCCTACCTTGCCTTAACCCAATGCAATATTCTCTTTAGCTACAAGCTCAGGACTGAGTAGGTAGTGTAATACAATACATATCATTAGGTATATGGTTACATTCAGACCATTAATCCATCTAGTTCAGTACTGTCCCCATACTGCAGACTTTCCCAACCCGATGCCTTCCAGAACTTGCTGGACTACAACTCCCATCATCCCTGCCCTTTGGCCATGCTGACTGGGGCTGATGGAAGTTGTAGTCCAAAACATCTGGAAGACACCAGACTCGGGGAGGTTGCTTTAGACTGGAGGATGAGGATGAATTCTCAATAGAAAGTGGCAGTAGCTCTCTAGGACTTTTTTCAGACCCACCTAGAGATACCAGGAAGTGAACGTTTTGGAGGCAAAGTGATGCAAACAGAATACAGTGATACCTCTAGTTACAAACTTAATTCGTTCTGGAGGTCCGTTCTTAACCTGAAACTGTTCTTAACTAGAGGCGTGCTTTCGCTAATGGGGCCTCTCGCTGCCACTACGCCACCGGCACACGATTTCCGTTCTCATCCTAGGGCAAAATTCTCAACTCGAGGTAACTCTTCCAGGTTAGCAGAGTTTGTAACCTGAAGCGTTTGTAACCTGAGGCGTTTGTAACTAGAGGTACCACTGTATACAAAAGGGAAAAGACATGTGAAGCTTACAGGAATGGTGTTAGTGAAGAACTCTGGCTAGTGGAGTATCCATCAGAAGTGGCTGAAAGCAGATCACCAGTGCTAAAGACAGGTTGGTGTATGACAAGGGAATAGCTTGAGCAGGCATAGGCAAACTCAGCCCTCCACATGTTTTTTGAGACTACAATTCCCATCATCCCTGACCACTGATCCTGTTAGCTAGGGATGATGGGAGTTGTAGTCCCAAAACATCTTGAGAGCTGAATTTGCCTATGCTTGAGCTGGAGGGAAACCTCCAAATGTCAATGGCAAATTTGAAATTCCTAAGAAGCATATTTTGGTTCATTTTCGCCTCTCTATTTGAATCTTTAAACAGCAGGGATAGAACACAGATGGGAAATTGCTCACTCTTCATTTCTGGTGTGAGAACAGCTGGGACTGTCAGGTCTGCGTGTGTCTTCAAGGAATCTCCAAGTGGAGCAAATGACCTAAGGGAAAAGCTACAGCCCTGATAAACACTGTTGACTACTGACATATATGCACAATTCTGTTAATAGTGCTTGCGGATGAGGAGGAAATTTGATTCTCAGTGTGCTTTTAAAGGAGAAGCTATTTAATTTGCACTTACTGAAGCAGTATGAGACCCAAAGCAAAGCCATCCTTTGAAAATGACATTGTTCTGAATGCTTCTATTCTTCTACTTAGCGTATGTGTGGGGTTTTGTGTCAGCGTCACTTGTGTGGGTTCTCTTTCTGTTCACTTGTTATATTTCCTTGGTGATGAGAGAAGTTGCAAGTGGCCTAGGGTTTGGTTGGTTGCCTTTGACTGGCTGTAGTGAGATTTGTTTATGTGTGTGAGTGTGTGAGGGGGTGGATTTTTGGATCAGGTTAGCCATATTGATTCATTTGTTGTCGGTGGATTCTTGTTGTTGTCTTGTTGGGCTGTGTTTGTGATGAAGGGGACCCTTACCGGAGTAAAGGCATCTTCTTCTATTTGTCCCCATGTCAGTTTCAGTTTATTGATTAGCTTTTCTGTTTCCCATACTGTTTGATACCATTGGTTTACTCCTGACAGGTCTCTCCAGTGCCTGGTTTTTTTCATTTCCCCCAAAGCCGCCCCCCCCCCAGAAAATGGGAAAAAAGTGTGTGGAATATTCAAACTATGTCAAACTACCCCCCCAGTCCCCCCCCAAAGCTTTGGTAAAAATGGGGGGGGGGATTTCCAGTTTTCCCCCAGGTCTCCCCATCTCTAGGTGTATAGGTTGGAATACAATTCTGCAAATTCTGAGGTTATTTCTTTGGAGGAGAATGTTATGTTGCTGGTTTTTTTGGGTGATGCAGTGAATTCTTGTTTTGAGTGTTTTTTCTCCTTACACCTGTTTGCTAATAGTCTGGAGTTTCCCCCTCCATAATCGTCGAAGCGCTGTTTTGAGTATAGGATGTTGATCATTGTTTTGTTGATTTCTAGGGAGTCGAGTTCCCTCCTTTTTTGCTCTATAAATTTAAGGAGCCTTTTGGCTCCTGTTTGTTTGTAGCGTGATGAGAGGGCCATGATGTCTTGTTCTATTTTGCTAATTTTTGAGGAGGTGTGTTTTTTAAGGTGTGCTTTCTCTTTTACGCAAGCTCCCAAGGGGACAGCTTTCATGGTGTCCCAAAGGAGGGGGGTTGTTATATTGTCTACATCATTTTCTTTGAAATAGTTTTGGAAACTTTTTGTGAGACTCTCTCTAATTAGTTTATTTGTGGTTAGGATGGGACTGAAGAACCACGATGGGGTGGTTCATGTTTCTTCTCCTATTTTAAGAGTAGCTTCTACTGGGGCATGGTCTGTGATTTTAATGTTACCTATGTTCATTGATTCAACTAGGAGGATTAGGCCTTGTGGGAGCAGAATGCTGTCAAGTCTGGACACTGCGCCGTGGTGCCTGGATTGTAACGTGTGGCTGGTGTCTCCTGGGTTTTCTTCACCCCATATGTTTTTTAAGCATTTTTAATAATTTATAAAAGTACCTACCGTATTTTTCGCTCTATAGGACACACTTTTCCCCTCCAAAAATTAAGGGGAAATGTGTATGCATCCTATGGAGTGAATGCAGGCTCCTTGGCTTCAGCGATAGCAATGCGAAGCCTCCGAAGTGCAGAGGGAGAGCTCCCCCGTGCTCCTTGGCTTTGCGTTGCTTTCGCTGAAGTCGCCTGAAGGCCGAAGCCCCCGGAGCGCAGCGCGAACTCCCGCTGCGCTCTGGGGGCTTCGGGCAGCTATCCACAAGTCTTCAGAGCGCAGCAGGAGTTCCCGCTGCACTCCGAAGGCTTGCGGATAGCCGCCTGAAGCCTGGAGAGCGAGAGGGGTCGGTGCACACCTCTTGCTCTCCAGGCTTCGCTTCGCTGGAGAGGCACTGCATGGTTTTCCCTCTCTGCGCAGCGCCCCTTCAGCGAAGCGGGAGGAGAAATGGAAGGGGCTCCGTTTCTCCTGCCGCTTCACTGAAGGGGCGCTGAGCAGAGAGGGGGAGAATTCCCCCCCCCCTGTTGTCCCCCTCCAGTGGTCTGGTGCGTCCTATAGAGCGAAAAATACGGTAATTGTTTGGGGTTTCCTTCAGAGGAAGGTTGCCCATGGGATTGTAGGGTGGATGTCTTTCAGGGAGGTGCCTCTCGTGTTTAGGCTGAGATCACTTCCCAAGATTGTTTCCCCTTTGGAGAAGGAAAGGAATTTATTTTGTGTTTTCTAGATGAACTCTAGTTGTCTTGAGTTTGGGGCATATATGGAACCAATGGTCAGTTTACTATTGTCATCTAGCATCCCTTTAACAAGATTTTATCTGCCTCTTTTGTCTTTTCACACTGTTGTGGCTTTGAAATTCAGGTCTCTACTGAATATCATAGTTACTCTGTGGGCCTTTCCTGAGCCAGGTGCAACCCATTGACGACTGAAGCGGGGTTCGCTCAGGAGTTTGCTTCCTTTGGGTAGATTGTGTGTTTCTTGTAGGAAGGCAATGTGTGATCTCATGGTGTTTACAAAAGAGGTGATGCGTTATCTTTTGATGCGGTTTCCGAACCCCCTCATGTTTAGTGTAATTGCTTTTAAACTAGCCATTCTGTTTGTCTACTTTATAGGATAATTCCCTGACAGTTGTCCTATGTCTCTCACTGTGTCTATCAAACCTATTGTGTTGCATTGACATAAAGTGTGATGGGTGGGGGAAGAGGTGGGTTAGAGTTACATTTGGGTTAAAGAGTGGGGGATAGATTACAGAAAGTAGCCTATACAGTGGTACCTCTAGTTACGAACGCTTCTGGTTATGAACGCTTCAGGTTATGAACCTGGAAGTAGCTGTTCCTGGTTGTGAACTTTGCCCCAGGATGTGAACGGGAATTGCGTGTTGGCGTGCGTGCAGCAGGAAGCCCCATTAGCAAAAGCATGCCTCAGGATTAGAACAATTTCACCTTAAGAATGGACCTCCAGAAGGAATTAAGTTTGTAACCAGAGGTACCACTGTATGTAGTTATATAGGTGTTTGTTTGGGGTAACTTGGACCATCTAGCTTCCAACCGATTGGTCCTGGGTCTCAGCAGGCATGGAGAGCCTTGTTTAAGAACAGGACGTCCTCCTTTCTTATTTCACCTTACTGTTATTGCTATTGTTAGTTTTCTTTTCTTTTTTCCTTTCTTGTTTTCCCCCTTTTTATTTTCTGTTTTTAAAGGAGATATATATATATATATATATGAAAATAAGTAATAATATATTTTTTATCTCATTCTCTCAAAGGGGTGCTTTTTTCTGGGGGTACTCAAGGGTATGCAGTACTGGCACCTTTTTTCTAGAAGAAAAGCACTCTGCAGAAGAACTTCCACTTGCAGAAGGACATCAGGGTGAATACTGAATAAACAGGTCACCTGGTGGAGTTCAAACATTCCAATACCTTCTCAGTGTGTTTCACTCGTCTTCTTAACCAAAATAAAGTGTCTAAACATGGGTGTGGCTGCCTCAGTGGCTTCTTGGGCCAATGGTGGGAGGGAGGAGGAGAATTCACCACAGCAGCCAAGGACAGTGCCCCCTTGCTCTGAAAGAGGAGGTGGCACAGCTCCAGCACAGCCTTTCCCGAAACAGAGAGCTAGAAATAATAATCCCAGCACAGGATGGGTATGAGGTCAGGAGTCTACTGTGAGAATGTCTAGATATATACCGTTATATCGTGAAGTTCAATCAGTGGGTTAAATGGAACACAATGGGGCATGTGGAGCATTTGCATATATTGTAATTAGGATGTGTGATCTGTATTTTAAGCTATTTTGTGTTTAACTTGTATTTCATATATTGATTTTTACTGTTCACGGCTTAAATACTTTTCTTGAAGTTATACATGAATAAAGAAATGCTGGGAGATTCCGGTGGGTTGGGGAGCTTCTTGAGCAGTGCTGCAGGATCTCACAGCGCTGCTGTAATGTGGTCCTAGTGACAGCCACCCTAGAGGTCTTTTGCTAGGTTTTGCATGAGTTGCACCTCAGAGTTTCGAAGAGGATCACCACATGTGATAACAATAGATACTTGATGTTATTCCAGAAGGACAGGCAGCAACAAGATATTGTCTCAACTCAGTTGGCTTACCTGATTCTACTCTCTAATCGTGGACAGACACAGAAAAAGCAAAGAGGTTTCAGGACAATGATTAGGCAAGAGACTGATGGCATTAGGGAAGAGATGGGTGCCATTCACAGACTGAAAGTACATTAGTGTGAAATTGGACCTTCCTAATGAACAGCTGTTCTTAGTTTCACCTAAATATTGTATGAGCAGCAGTGGGCTCAGAAGGGCCCCAAGTAACAAACCTTTGGTGACAAAAGGAGGCTGAGCTCTAGGAATGCTGAGAGTTAGATACTCATATCTAACACAGAGTACAGAGCAGTGGAAAGGTTGAGGACATGTTCTGCAAGCAGAAGGTCTGTGGTCCAATTCCTGGCATCTCTAGCTAAGCAAAAAGTATCACATAGCAGGTGATAAAGACCACTGCTCATTGGACAATATAGGGCTAGATAGAGAAATAGTCTGTTTGGTATAAGGTCCCATTCCTCCTCTTCATCTCTTTATTTGCATGCCACTTTTCCTAGAAAATTGTGCCCAATTTTCTCACAACATATAAAATGAACAGTAAATATAACATTATTATTTTTTTAAAAAAATTAAAAATAACCCTAATGTCCATAAATACAGAAAATAAATCCACAACATTATATAAAGCAATACACAAATAAGCTAACCTAACCGAACAGCTTAAAATGAAGCAGGAGACACAATAATGCCTAACACAGAAATAAAATGATAGTATACAAGTTGGGCAGGGGTGGGATCATTATTCCAAAATGACATTCCATAGAAGCTCGCCACAATTGACTTACCAGCATTAGATGGTAGCTACAGCTCCCACTTGTGGTAGCCTTCCTTCTCACCTCTTACTGAGTTTCCTGTGTCAGTTACTTTCCCATCTTCACATGGGAAAGGTTAAGCTAGCCACTCCTCCTTCAAACCCCACATATTCTCACCGGAGTTTTGGTTTTGCTCACTGTGATACATGAAGCAGAGGTGTGTTTTACTAAATCAGCAGATATTGTTAGGTCAGTAGATACCACCTGCAGATATGTATGAGATATTTTTTTACTTCTTAAGATTACTCACATAGAAAATCATCTCTACAATATATGGGATATATTTGTAAGCCATCTGTGTTGTTATGCACACTGTTTTCTAAGCTTTTACAAAAATTGGTTGAAAAAAGTAATGGGATGATACAGGTTAGTTATTACTAACTTGTAAAAGGTTATGGATTAAGTCCAGCTGACTTTTGTGGCAGATTTGGGATGTGTGATTAGAAGAAGGAAAACAAACATAGATTGAAAATGCCACCAACCTTCATTGGGCCCCGAGAATCTCTGAGTCTGCATGACAGGAGGCTTTCCTGTTTTCAACGGGATAAAGGAGACTGAAACAAAACAGCACAGATTCTGGCTATTTGCATCTTTTAAGGACTACTCCTCACGTTTGGGCCCCTTTGTCAATCTCCCAGTTTTCAGGGGTTTAGCTGTGAAAAGTGTGGATAGCATTGCATGCCCTCATAAACCACAGAGTAGACATTTGTCTAGGATGTTCCCTTCCACTAAATTATGCTTCCCTATGGCTGTGCATGTATGGGGTAGCCAATTATCCTGTCTGGGTGTTACCAACAGAGAGAGGTTTAAGAAAGCTAACACTGACTAATGCAAACAATTTTGTTTTAATTAAATTAACATGTTTAATGTTTTTAAAGTTCTGTGATGCTAAAGTTCAGTGATAGCAAATCCGAGTGATTCCTTATTCTCGCTTGCTTGGAAAGAACTAGAAAGAGATGAGGATGGAAAGCTCCCACCATCTTAAACTTAAAAAAGTTCAAAGAGGTTAAAATGCAATAAAATAGTTTATGGCACCACTGATTTATGATTGCTTTGCAGACAATACACTCCTTGATATTACATGGGATGGGATTAATGCAAAGAATAAAGGATTGCCTGACAATATTTTTGTAACAGTTGTTAAGAAGCTAGAAGACAAAAATACATAATTTATGGCACATGTTCAGAAATGGGCAGAGTAGTAGAGATTAAAACGTTATGGGTTAATGAACCCTGCATCAAATGAAAAACTGATTCAAAGTACCAAATTGCACATTTAGGAAAAAGCTCAGCTCTCCTGGCCTTGGCTTCTGCAGGTTTCTAAGAACACACCAGAGCTAAATAGGCTACATAATTTTCTGTGCCAAAAAGGGCATAGTACACTTGTATTTACTGCCATCTTGCCACAACCCCCTGATATTTGTCAGACTTCCGGAGGCGGCGCGATCGGTAATGGCTGCCTGCTCCTTGTAAGGAGAGGGAAGCTCCGCTGAAAACGGGTCGTCCGCTACGGCGAAGCGGAGACCCACTCAGGAAAACCACAGGCGGCAGAAGCCTGTGGTCTCGAGACCCGGCGGGCGCCAGAAGCAACCCCCAAAACGCTGAAGGGACCCCGTAAGGGGCTCCGGATCGCGGAGGGGGTAGCGGCGCTGTGGGTCGTTTCGCAGTCAACGGAGCGAAGCCGCGTTGCTGTTGCCGGTAAGCGCTGACCTTTCTCCTGGAACCTTCAAACCTGGAAAGTTACAACCCGTGAGTAATTTGGATTTTACAAATTTAAAGACTTTTAAAACCTGGAATTTGGCTGAAAGTGGAGTGACGATAAACAGGAAGTCCGTCTTCCGCTAACACTAAACTTGAAAGTAAAGAGCAGGAGGAGTGGAGATTAAGAGTGATGCTTTAACCAATCGATCTGGCACCTATTTAAATTATTTTTCTGTGTGGATAAAAGACTTTAAGTTGCTGTTTTTTGGGATTTATATGGAGACAAGGATACCTATCTTCTGCTGAACCAGTGGATTACAATTTAAATAAAAACCCCAGGTGCTTGAGCTGCCTGAGCAATTGAGCACCAGTCTGCAAACTTGGATACTTTGAATCCAGACTTTGTGATATTCTGAGCTTGAACTTGCTATTTTGAAACAACTGCTGTTTAAGCACTGTCAGAAACATTGTTTTGCTGTAAGTATTAACTCTGCTAAAATTTATCTTTGTGGAGGTCTTTGGACGCTGAATTAGATTTATAAATTTGAATTGGATTTGACTTTCTCCCTAAAGACATTTTAAGCTCCCCCTAGAGGATTTTGGACCTACAGCAGTGACTTTGTTTTATTTTCCTTTCCCGGCCTCCTGTCTGACTGTTGCATCTGGGCTGTTGCTTTCTCATGGGAACAACTCAGTTTGACCTTGGCTTCTAGATAACTTTGGAATGAGTGGAACAAGAAAAAGGGGAAGAACCAGACAAACAACCTTAACTTTATCTGCAGCCTCACAGCGTAGATCATCTGTGCCTGTTTTGCCTTCCACTTTACCTCCTGAGATAGAAGCGGCTTCCCTGTCACAGGCAGGGGAGGGAGAAACGGAGGAATTACAACTGGAAGATATGGCCTTAGGAGCAAGTGGCTCTGTTTTAGAGAAAAATTTTGAAAAATTGGAGGCTTTGGATAGAAAGGCTGATCTGCAAACAGCTAAAATTGACCAAAACACTGAAAGTTTGAATAAATTAACTGGACAAGTTGCACAGAATGTTCAATCTATTGGAGAACTGAAGGAGGCTGTAGGTGAAAATCGGAAATTGGCTGAGGATACTAGCCAAAGACTGGGAGAGCTTGAAAAAGAAGTAAGACCACTCAGTAAACAAGTTGGAGAACATCAGATTTATTTTTCTATGACAGAACTGCGGAACAGGGAGGCCAACTTGAGGATACGGTCAATACCAGAAGTGGAAGAAGACAACTTAACTGAGTTTCTGACTAAAGAATTTTCCAAGTTCTGGAATTTAGAGGAAAAAGACTTTAAAATAGTATCCGCTTTCAGGCTTGGAAGGCTTAGAAGGAAAGAGAAGCCCAGAGACTGTCTGATAATACTGAGATCCAAGGAGGAAAGGGATAAGATTTTGGGCCTACACTACAGAAAGTCACTGGACATTTTGGATAAAGAATTGAAATTTTCAAGGGACATCCCTAAACAATTGCTGGACCTTAGATCTGACTATTCGGAACTAGCAAGATTGCTGAGGAGTAATTCAATTATCTTCAGGTGGGAGTTTCCTCAAGGATTATCCTTTACTTTCAGAGGGAGTAAGACTAAAATTAGAACACCGGAGGATAGAGACAAGTTTTTGGCGGCACACGGAGAAGATCTTCACAAAGGACTTGGAGCACTCCCAGGGCCCGAACCTCCGGGGGAGCCGGCACCCTCGGATCCTCAAGAACCGGAGAACAAGGTACCACCCCAGCAAGAATAACCAGACCCATTCAGGATGTCTCTGCAACTTTTGAGTTGGAACATAAATGGCTGTAACAGTCCAGAAAAAAGGAGAAAAATTTTTCATATATTAAAAAAGGAACAATTGGACATTATCTGTTTACAAGAAACACATGTGATTAGGCTCCACAGAAAAGTGTTAATAAAGAAAAGACTCGGTCAGGAATTCATATCTTCGGACACAGTAAAAAGAGAGGTGTGGTGATTTACGCAAAAGAGAGCCTTTCACCTAAATTTCTGTTTAAAGACGAACATGGAAGAATCTTGGCAATAGAAATACAACATCAAGGAGAGAAAATTTTGATATTAGTCGAAACTAGAGACAGAATTGTTAGAACCAAAGACTAAGACTTTATCGAGAATGTATAACTTGCTGCTTAAATGGAATACACAGGATGAGGTAGTTAAATCTGCCATGATAAAATGGGCACAGGATGTTGGACACAACATAATGTTTGAAGACTGGGAAAGGTTATGGAACACCGGAATGAAATTCACGGCATGTACGGCCTTGAAGGAAAACATTATGAAAATGGTATACCGGTGGTACATGACCCCAGTCAAGCTAGCTAAAATATATCACCTGTCTGACAACAAATGTTGGAAATGTAAGGAGGCAGAAGGGACATTTTTCCATCTCTGGTGGACCTGCCCAAAAGTGAAGGCCTTCTGGGAAATGATACATAATGAATTAAAAAAGGTATTTAGGTATACCTTTTCTAAGAAACCTGAGGCCTTCCTGCTGGGTATGGTGGACCAGAAAATGTCAAAGAAGGATAGAACTTTGTTTATGTATGCAACTACAGCAGCAAGAATACTCATCGCAAAGAACTGGAAGACACAAGATTTACCCACGCTGGAGGATTGGCAGACGCAGTTGATGGACTACATGGAAGTAGCTGAGCTGACTGGCAGAATCCGAGATTTGGATGAAGAAATAATCGAGGGAGACTGGAGAAAATTTAAAGACTATTTGCAAAAACATCACAAGCTGTATGAATCTTAAGTTAGTGCATGATTGAGAAATACTATGCTTTGGCAAATATGATTAAGTAAATGTTAAAATAAGTGATAAAAAAGAAAAGGAGACAATTTGAATTGAACATGTTATGTTTATTTTAAAAGTATTGAAATTAAGATACAATATATTGAATTTGGATGCATAACAAATTGAAAGTTACAATAAGGTACGAAACAAGGTAACAAATTGCTGACATTACTAAATTATAAAGAATGCAGTTCCGGAGGGTGTGGGGAAGTCCAAATAGGGAATGGTTTATATACTTTTTTTGGTTTGGTTTTTAATTTGTTTTTGATGTAAAAGAAAAGAAAAACTGTTTCTTGTATTTAATGCATTTGTGGTGTTTGGATTGTTTGAAGATTTGGAAAGGAACGCAATAAAAAATTTATAAAAAAAAAAAAGAAAATTTTGATATTAGGAATTTATGCTCCAAATGAAGGGAAATCGGAATTTTACAAGAAGTTGCATGAGACTATGCTGGATTATCTGGACTACAACAACATCATCATGATGGGAGATATGAATGGGGTTGTATCAACCAACATGGATAAGTCACAGAATCAAAATGTTACTAAAGACGGAAGACTACCAAAGACTTTCTTTGAAATGACAGACAATATGGATTGGATTGATATTTGGAGAGTGAGAAACCCCTTGGGAAGGGAAGGAACATTCTTCTCTGAAGCCCAACTGACCTGGACAAGAATCGACCAAATATGGATAACTAGAGGTCTGGCACCCAAGATTAGAAAGGTGGAAATCTGCCCAAAGACAAGCTCCGACCATAACGCACTGAGAATGGACATGACATTGATCCCAACCGGTTCCTTCAGATGGAAGATGAATGATGGCCTGTTTAGAGATCAAGAGATTGCCAAGAAGGCCCAAAAAACTCTAAAGGACTATTTTGAGATCAACATGAACACTACGGTGGAAAAAAGAACTATCTGGGACGCAAGCAAGGCTGTGATGAGGGGGTTCTTGATACAACAGAATACCATAAAGAAAAGGAAACAAAATGAAAGGAAGGACAAAATTCTGGAAAGAATTAAAGAGTTAGAGAAGAAGCTGAGATCTAATCCGAAGTCTCAGCCGATTCTGCGAGAAATTAAACTTCATCAAGCGCAATATTCCAAACTGATAAACCAGGAAATAGAATGGAAGATTAAAACAATGAAACAAAAAACTTTTGAATCGGCTAATAAATGTGGGAAACTGCTAGCTTGGCAGTTGAAGAGGAGACAAAAATTAAATACAATAACAAATTTAGAGATTGAAGGAAGAAGTATTCAGAACCCCGGAGAGATTAGAAAGTGTTTCCAGAGATATTTCAAAAAATTATATACTCAAGGGCCACAAGATGAAACTGAGATGAAACGATTTTTGGAGAAGAATGGACTAACAAAGCTGTCAGAAGAAAACAGAACAATCCTGAATGGCAAAATAACACGACAAGAGATTGAGCAGGCCATCCAGAACATGAAACAGGGCAAATCGCCAGGGCCAGATGGGTTGACCTCCAAGTATTATAAGATACTGAAAGACTACCTGATACAACCACTGATGGAGGTCAGCAATGAAATAATGGAGGGGAAGAAGGCACCAGAATCGTGGAAGGAAGCTTTTATCACATTGATACCAAAGTTGGAAACTGAAAAGACACAACTGAAGAACTACCGTCCCATCTCCCTTTTAAATGTGGATTACAAAATATTTGCAGATGTTTTGGCAAGTAGATTCAAGAAAGTTTTAAACGAAGTAATTCACAAAGACCAGACAGGCTTTCTCCCAGGTAGACATATGTCTGCTAATACAAGGAACATTATAGACATATTGGAACTTTTGCAAACAGACATAAACACTAAAGCAGTTTTAATCTTTATAGATGCGGAGAAGGCCTTTGACAACATATCCTGGAAGTTTATGAAGGGGAACTTAAAGGAAATGGGAGTGGGTCTGGGGTTCGAGAATGGGATTGATGCAATATATTCAGAACAAAAGGCCAAATTGATAGTTAATAATGTGGTTACAGAAGAGTTTAAAATTGAAAAAGGTACACGACAAGGCTGCCCGATTTCCCCGCTATTATTTATTTCGGTTCTGGAAGTGCTCCTGAATATGATTAGAGGGGACGGGCTGGTGGAAGGGATCCAGGTCGGAGCGAAACAATATAAACTTAAAGCGTTTGCAGATGACCTAGTTTTGACACTACAGGAGCCAGAATCTAGTACGAAAAGAGTATTACAACTGATCCAGGATTTTGGTCGAGTGGCGGGATTTAAATTAAACAAACAAAAAAACTAAGGTCTTGGGAAAAAACCTGACAGATACTGAGTCGGAACGGTTTCAGAGAGAGACAGAATTAACTGTGGTTAAGAAAGTGAAATACCTAGGGGTAAACATAACAGCAAAAAACTTGAGTTTGTTCAAAGATAATTATGAAAAATGTTGGTTGGAAATTAAGAGAGACTTGGACAGTTGGTCAAAATTAAAACTTTCATTGCTAGGCCGAATAGCTGCCATTAAGATGAATGTATTGCCAAAAATGTTATTTTTGTTTCAGACATTGCAGATCGTAGACAAAACGGAGTGCTTCCGGAAGTGGCAGAAAGATATTTCTAAGTTTGTCTGGCAGGGCAAAAAGCCCAGAATTAAGTTTAAGATACTAACGGATGCGAAAGAAAGAGGGGGCTTTGCCCTGCCAGACTTAAAGTTGTACTATGAAGCCGCAGCTTTCTGCTGGCTAAAAGACTGGCTACTTCTTGAGGACACGGATGTACTAGATCTGGAAGGTTTTAATAATGCATTTGGATGGCATGCATACCTATGGTATGATAAGGTTAAGATTAACAAGGCCTTTAAGAACCATATTGTCAGGAAAGCAGTATTTAATGTCTGGACAAGATACAAAGACTTACTGGAGAATAAAACTCCGAGGTGGCTGTCACCCCTGGAGGCTAAGGCCCGAAAAAGAGCCAATATGGAGGCCAACTGGCCAAAGTATTGGGAGATATTAGAAAGAGATGGAGACAATTGGAAATTGCAGAGTTTAGAGAAAATGAAAGATAAAGTGCGAGACTGGTTACACTATGCTCAGATCAAAGAGGTATTTAAGAATGATAAAAAGTTAGGATTCCAGGTGGAGAAATCGAAGTTGGAAACAGAACTGTTAGAACCTAAGACTAAAGTACTTTCAAAAATGTATAATTTGCTGCTGAAATGGAACACACAAGATGAAATGGTTAAATCGGCAATGATAAAGTGGGCACAGGATATTGGGCATAATATTATGTTTGAAGATTGGGAAAGGTTGTGGACCACTGGGCTGAACTTCACTGCATGTAATGCTCTGAAGGAAAATGTAATGAAAATGATATACAGATGGTACATGACCCCAGTTAAATTGGCTAAGATATACCATTCGTCTGATAATAAATGTTGGAAATGTAAGGAAAATGAAGGAACATTCTTTCACCTTTGGTGGACTTGCCCTAGAGTGAAGGCCTTCTGGGAGATGATATATAATGAGTTAAAAAAGGTGTTTAAGTATACCTTTACCAAAAAACCAGAGGCCTTCCTCTTGGGCATTGTTGGCCAGAATGTGTTAAAGAAGGATAGAACATTTTTTATGTATGCAACAACGGCAGCAAGGATACTGATCGCCAAGAATTGGAAGACTCAAGATCTACCCACTCTGGAAGAATGGCAGATGCAGCTGATGGACTATATGCAACTAGCAGAGATGACCGGCAGAATTCGAGACCTGGGAGAAGAGAGAGTTGAAGAAGACTGGAAGAAATTTAAGACTTATTTACAAAAATATTGTAATTTGGCTGAATGTTGATAGGGATGCCAGAATAGAAATAATTGTCTATCACTAAACTAGAGTTAAGCTTAACTAGATTTTAATGATTGAATTTAAAGACTATGAACAAAATGATAATTTGCTTGGAAATAATTAGACTGAATCTAAAGACTATGAACAAAATGATAATTTGCTTGGAAATAATTTTATAAAGATGCAAGTGTGTGGGGGAGGTGTGAGGGAGTCCAAAGTAATGATGAAAAGATGCTAAATAATCAACGTTGTTTTATTAAATATGCCTTTGTATTGAAAAACCTTAATAAATATATATTTTTTAAAAAAAAACCCTGATATTTGTCATGCTACTTACCAAACCTTTAATCGCTTCCTGTATGTTGTGCATTCATCCTGATTTGATTGCACAAAGCCTGTGCAGAAGTTATGCGATGTCCACTCTTTGTTGCACATTCGTTTATTTGCATGGAAGTTGTGTACAGCATCGGGTATATGTTGTACATACCTAAATTTGCTGGTATGCAGTTGAATGCCTCCTGAAAAATAGTAACAGTCTGACTACAGGTAAAAGAAAATGGCCTGCTGTCTGGGACTGTGTGAGGGTCTGTGTGGGCACTTCCACTTTCAGCTAACTCTAGTCAGAATTGCCAGCTCTCTTTCTCTGCCCATTCCAACTTCCCGGCTGCTGTTTCTGTGTGTGCTCTCTCACTCTTGCTCTCGCTTTCCTTTGTTGGGTATCTCATTCAAAAAACACAGAGAGAATCTTTCCTGCTATCCAGACACTGTCTCCTAACCATTAACAAATGAATGATCAGCCAGCAGCTGTATTATAAATAAATGCAGCATAATATTCTCTATGTTGTTGTTGTTTAGTCGTTTAGTCGTGTCCGACTCTTCGTGACCCAGGCACTTCTGTCTTCCACTGTCTCCCGCAGTTTGGTCAGACTCATGTTTGTAGCTTCGAGAACACTGTCCAACCATCTTGTCCTCTGTCGTCCCCTTCTCCTTGTGCCCTCAATCTTTCCCAACATCAGGGTCTTTTCCAGGGAGTCTTCTCTTCTCATGAGGTGGCCAAAGTATTGGAGCCTCAGTTTCATGATCTGTCCTTCCAGTGAGCACTCAGGGCTGATTTCCTTAAGAATGGATGCGTTTGATCTTCTTGCAGTCCACGGGACTCTCAAGAGTCTCCTCCAGCACCATAATTCAAAAGCATCAATTCTTCGGCAATCGGCCTTCTTTATGGTCCAGCTCTCACTTCCATACATCACTACTGGGAAAACCATGGCTTTAACTATACGGACCTTTGTTGGCAAGGTGATGTCTCTGCTTTTTAAGATGCTGCCTAGGTTTGCCATCGCCTTTCTCCCAAGGAGCAGGCGTCTTTTAATTTTGTGACTGCTGTCACCATCTGCAGTGATCATGGAGCCCAAGAAAGTAAAATCTCTCACTGCCTCCATTTCTTCCCCTTCTATTTGGTTGTGATGTCAATGCAGGTATCTCTCAGCTTATGTGGGAGTTATATTCCAGGGATCCCACCAAAATCACATAGTGAAAACATATTTGGTGCAATGGCAGGTGGGCTTGCCAAAGTCTTTCCCCCCGGGACGTCCACCCCCCCTTTTATTTTTTATATTTTGCCAAGTGTGTAAAGTTGAATGTGCGCAAGTTACGAGCTTACTGAACACTGATGTTACCTTGGACTGAACAGCTTGGAGTTGTATCCTGTTTGTGGCCTCTGTTGCACTTAAGAAACATCCATTGACCTTCTGTATCTTCTGCAACTGTATAAGATGACCCTCTCATTATTTTCTGGTATTTGCTTTCTGCTTTATTGCTTATATTTATGATAGAAGAACTTCATCAACATTTGGTGATCAGGAAGTTTTAAATGTTTGACATTTTATTATTTTTTATATTTTGCTGGATGCCGCCCAGAGTGGCTGGGGAAGGGCAGGGTATAATAATAATAATAATAATAATAATAATAATAATAATAATAATGGGGTTCAGCTCCAGCTCAATTGCTTCTGCTGCAAGGAGTGCCCATCCCAATGCTTAAATGAGAGCCAATGTGGTGTAGTGGTTAAGAGCGGTAGTCTCATAATCTGGGGAACCGGGTTCGCGTCTCCGCTCCTCCACATGCAGCTGCTGGGTGACCTTGGGCCAGTCACACTTCTTTGAAGTCTCTCAGCCCCACTCACCTCACAGAGTGTTTGTTGTGGGGGAGGAAGGGAAAGGAGAATGTTAGCCGCTTTGAGACTCCTGAAGGGGAGTGAAAGGCGGGATATCAAATCCAAACTCCTCTTCTTCTTCTTCTTAAAGCAAATGGGATGGGCAGGTTTATGTGTGTCTGGGGAGGAGAACAGTGCCAACAACTCCTCTCCCCTCATGGCTTATCCTTTGGTAGCTCAGGGGTGGGGAACCTCAGGCCCAGGGGGAAAATGTGCCCCTCCAGAACTTTCTCTCTGGCACTGGTGACTTTCTTCAGGCCACATCTCATCCCTAAGCACACCGACCTCTCTCCCTGTCACACTCCTCGCTAGCTCTGCTTCTCATTTTCCTGGAGTGTTTTTGCCCAGCTGGAATGTGTCCTTGAATTCTGATAATGCCTCTTGCTTGCCCCGGTAGAGAATAGAGAAGGATGCATGAGTAGATGTAGAAATTAGCATACTGTACAAAGGTAAAATTTACATACATTGTTCCATCCACTTTGGCTAGATAGATTGAGAATAACTGATAGTAAGGAAATAGTAAATTTAATTCTTAGCATACTAAAAGAAAAAACCCTATAAAACACAAAAGCCAGAGGGGAAGGACATTAAAGAATATGTAGCATAAACTGAAATTCAAACCTTAAATGAAATAGATAAGTTATGGCTGGACCAAAGTGCAAGTTGTACTAAAATGCAGCAGACCATCAAATAATTAAGGATAGGAGAGCCACCTGGATCAGATGGTTTTATCACAGAGTACATTAAGTAATTTATAAATATTATCCAAGACACAATAACAGCAGCTCTAAATGAAGTAAACCATATACCTCAAGAATTGGGGAAATAATTTGATATATAAATAATATATATATAAATATATATACTAAAGGAAAAGACCAAGAAGATGTAGCACCATACAGACACTTATTGAATTTTGACTATAAAATCTTTATGGGAGTTCTAATGAACAGAGTACATAAAATAATTCCTATTAATATGGATTCAATGTGCATTAAATAATATCCACAAAGTTCAAGCCAGTTTTTTTAAAGGTAAATCTAGGAACACTGATAGACAGAACAGATTACAACAGAAAAAATAAACTGTCAGCTGTGTGTGTTTTTGGACACTGAGAAGGTGTCTGACAGGTTAAAATGGCCCTTCTTAAAGGACTGTATGCCATGTTATTGTTTTGGGACTAACTTCTGTGATTGGGTCAATATTACTTACAAGTCTCGTGCCTAAATGCCAAACATCAGGTTTCCCAGCTTTTCATTTGCTGAGGGGTGCAAGACAAGCGTGGCCTTGCCAGAAGTATTGTTTACACCAGGGGTCAGCAAACATTTTCAGCAGCAGGTTGGTCCACTGTCCCTCAGACCATGTGGTGGGCTGGACTATAATGGGGGGGGGGGATGAACGGATTCCTATGCCTCACAAATAACCCAGAGTTTCATTTTGAATAAAAGCACACATTCTACTCATGTAAAAACACTAGGCAGGCCCCACAAATAACCCAGAGATGCATTTTAAATAAAAGGGCACATTCTACTCATGTAAAAACATGCTGATTCCTGGACTGTCTGTGGGCCGGAATTAGAAGGCGATTGGGCCGGATCCAGCCCCCAGGTCTTAGTTTGCCTACCCATGGTTTAGACGGTCCTTAGAGCTTTTGGCAGAAAGCATCAGCTAGCAGAATAAGATTTCACACATACACATAGGACAAACAGAACTAAAAGTATGTGTGCTGATGATACGGCAGGTTTTTTTTGACGAATGGAGGAATTAGAAAAGTTCCTGCAGAAATATGCAAAAGTAGCTGGGTGCAAAGACGGGGTTACAAAATTGAAGTGCTTCCTCTAAATCTTGAGGTTTTGATAAAATTCAGGATGCTAACTGGTTAACAAATAAGACTCTGCTCTAAAGCAAAATATCTGGGCTTGAGTATTAGGACAGACTTGCAAGACTTGTATAACATCAATGAAATTACTTTGCAACATCAAGCGCAAACATATTTAGAGAGATGGAGGAGTGCATCCAGGTCTCTGCTGGGGAGCATAAAGAAAGCCTTGCTGGATCAGACAAGGAGCATCCAGACAACTAGTTGTCCATGGGAAGCCTTCAAGCGGGACCTGAGTGGTTTCCAGGAACTGAGGAGGATACAGCCTCCAACTGTGAAGGCAGCCTATAGCCATTGTAGCTAGTCGCCATTGACAGCATTACATAAGGTGCTTATATAAGATCCGAATCTGCTTTTTTGCTTACATAAGTACCTGGTTCCCATAAAGCCTTGATGCCGGATGATAAAATGTATTATTCATTAAGTGGCATGCATCAATATTGAGAGTGCGGATTCAGAGATTTTAAAAGTCTTTTTTTCAGATCCACTGAATTCTTATGTTAGTTTTCCAAAGCAAAATATGTTTTCTTGCACGTTGATTGTGCCGAAATGCATGTAAAAATGGTGACCTCGGAAACAGTTTCTTACAGTCAATGTGTTCACAGACTGAAAAATATATTAAAGAAAATATCCCCCCCCTCCATTTAGCATGAAAAATAGCCAGTCATGTTTGTACAACTAGCAGGCTCCAGTATGCTGGGCACAGAGCCATTTGTGGAGGGAACCCCACTGCAAATAGCAGAGCCCCGTTGTCCCTCAACCCCTGCAAACACACAGATACTCAACGCACAGGGCCATTACATGGAATAGAGGACTTGTGTGCACCTGCACAAGAGCTTCTGGATCTGGGAAATGATTCATAATGAATTGAAGAAAATGTTGAAGATAACCTTTGTTAAAAAACCAGAGGCCTTTTTATTAGGAATGACAGGTGAAGACATACCAAGAAATGTTAAAAGACTATTTATGTATGCAGCTACAGATCTCACGTGAAAAAATGGGATTTCCCCTTTTCCCAGGGCACTTGGGAGGTACACTAGTCCATTTCCCTATTCTTATGCTGGCCAACCAGATGCCCCTGGGAGTCCGGCAAGCAGGACATGCACACAACAGCTGTTTCCTCTCTTGTGGTTTCCAGTGGTATTGAGAAGCATATTGCCCCGACTGTGGAAGTCGAATATAGCCGTTACTGCTCATAGTCATCGATAGCCTTATCCTCCATAGAATCAGAAAAGTTGGAAGAGACCCACAAGGGTGAGCTAGTCTAACTTCCTGTAATGCAGGAATCTCCTTTTTGTTGTTGTTAATTTTTTTTAATTGATTTTACATTTTCAAAACAAATTTCCAATATCACTACTAAACATTCGTTTTTCAATTCACCCCCTCCCCGCTGACTTCCCTCAGCTTCCATTTCTGGTTTATTACATCAAATGATACATTCTGCTGTTTGTTATCACATTGTTATATTTCTTGTTTTATGTAATAAAGTTGTAAATGTTTGTTTAAATCCTGCCGGCGAGTCCATGTCCCCCCCCCGCAAATATATTGTAAAAGGTTCCCATTCTTTTTCGAAGTCCCATTGTCCTTTTCTCACAGTTTGTCTGTTAACTTTGCTAACTCTGGGTAGTTCATCAGTTTTTCTTGCCATTGTTCTTTAGATGGTACTTCTCTAGTCTTCCAATTTTGTGCTATTAGAATTCTTGCTGCTGTTGTAGCATACATAAATAATGTTCGTTT